AGGACTCAGTAATAATTTTACCTCTGTCTTCATGTATAGATCATTTGCAAGTTATCAACATCTACAGTAATATGGAAAAAGAATCCAGGACAGGAGGGTAAGAATACTTATGAAGATTGCTGTGAGGACTAAATGAGGTGATATGCAGGTTCTAAGAAAACAAAATGCTGTGTGGTTATGCCTTTGCAAATAGCAGTACTTGTTATTTTGCTTGAATATTGGTCTTTGATTAAAAACACGTCAGACATGTGTAGGTGATTTTATGTTATCTGCTGTGAAAGCAATTCCACGTTAGGAAACACTGACAGAGGACACATTTAAATTCCCAGTAGTGATCAGTTTGTTGAAACGTGTGGCATTTTGTCAAAGCATCCATGAAGTATACGCACCCTTACACACGAGAAATCTAGAGTTTTTGAACATAGTTATAGATGTGCAGGGCAAGGGAAATGGTGATGGTTTATGGAGCATTTTCTGATTAAAAATCTGATTTAAGAACACTGTATTCAGAAAGATCTAAGCACACATACATAAGCATGCTTCCTCTCGGGGAGATCTGAGATCTCTGAATCTCCTTGTAGTTACATTAGCAGAGGCAAATGGCCTGATGGAGGCCTGTGCAGTCTCCCTCAGCAATCTGTCAGCGTTTCACAGCATAGTAACCCACAGATCACCGCCGCAGCCCTTCGATAAATACTGTAGGCTGCGAGCATGTGTGCTTGCCAAACTTTGCACGTTTCCATGGATACATGAATTTCAGTGCTAAAGCACATTTACTGTCACTTTCCTTGTCGCCAAGAGTCTTGTAAACACTTGTGCTTTAAGATTTTGTGCCGAAACTTAGCATTTTATGGAGGAAATGTCAGAATTACTTTTTCCCAAATGTACTGTACGATTTTCCCATAGGGCAGAGTCCCTGAAATAATTTATGTTTGTAATCTCCTTTTAGTGATGTGCTTTTATTTATTAGACCAATAAAAGGCGATAAAAGCTTGACTACATCATCAGTATCACTTTTAAGTGACTATATATAGGTGTAATATGTAAATGTTACAATTAATAAATGAGAAAACGCTCTGAATTTTAAAATGGAAAGAGATAAGTAGGTGAGCAAAAATGGGGTAGTATTTATATATTTAGGCACTTTATTCCTAAATATAGTGAAATTTACTCGACATTTTCAAAGACATCCTTGTGCTATATTTAAATTTGTAGTTCAAGATTATTCTTTCTAACATATTAAGATATGTACATTGACCTTTCACACATCTGCAAAGATGGTAGGATATATTTTTTTTGAATGGTTTGAATGTCATATATTACAACCTGAGGCTCAGAAAGTTTATAAGGAACTGGCCCCGTGTCACACAGCTAGCAGGTAGTAAACCTAAGATTAGAACCCAAGACTCCTATTTGACTGCCCAGGACTTTTTCAATGTCTTTTTTTCTGCGCAATGTGGGCTACTTCTCAGAAAAAAATACAGAAATACTGCTTTGCCATATGTGGATAGGTGTCTACGTCTCTGATGTGGACTCCATTGGGTCATTCTCTTTTGTATCCACTCCCCTGCTTGCCCTAGAAACTCAGTTTGGTCTAATTCACCAAGTCATTTCAAAGCAGCAGAGCCACTGGAAGAAGCTGTGCCTGGGACATCCCTGAGCCTGAGTGTGCACTGCCCCCAGAATCCAAAAGCAAGCAGATCTCTGGGTGCAATTGCACTGACTAAGAATGTGAAAAGCAGGATGAATGAGAAGCTTCAGCAACTTGTAAAAAAAAAAAAAAAAAAACCAATCTAAGTAGACGTTTCAAAAAGCTTGAGTTTTAACGGGATTTTGGAGGCCAAGGTTTGAACTATTTGATTGTCTGTCTCAACTCACACTTGTGATGCTGATGGAGCCAGCAATCTCTGTGTTATCTGGACAGATATCCCCAGCGGGGCTATGAGATCTTCTCAGAGACCCTTTTCACACTAGGCTCACACTAGGCCCTGTATTTGGGCAGGTCTTTTATTTTTGGAGGGGTTTTTGACACTGTTATTCATTTTAACCTTAAAGTAATTATTGGGAGATTTGAGTTTATATCCACTTCTTGCTCTGTTTTCCTTTTTTTTTTAAGTGCTGTTTTTAATAAACAGAATAGTTGTGTATAGTCATGGAGGACGGTGTGAGATTTTGTACACCTATGATAATACATAACATGCAATAATCAGGTACTTAGGATAACCACCCACTCCTATGTTGATTATTGCTCTGTGGTAAGAGCATTCTAAAAATATTCAATAAAATATTGTTAATATGTGTGTGTTTTAATCTAAAAGGGCTTTAGAGCTGGGGGTATTCCTGAGTGGAAGAGTGTGCACTTAGCATGCAGAAGGTCCTTGGTTCAAGCCTCAGTGCTGTAAAATAAAAGAACGAATAAATAAACATAAGACTTTACAAGGCCTGACCTCAGTTCTACCCCAGGAGGCAGTGAGTACACAGCCTCATGTCTCAATAGTTCCCAGCAACTTCCAGGACCCGAGTTCACACAGGTTTGCTGTGAGGATCAAATAACACAAAGGATATGAAAGTGCATGGCTGGTTACAAGATACCCATACGTGCACATAATCTATGTAGGCTCATCTTGAGGCTTTGGTCTAGTATCACACAATGCCAAATGTTTTTCATCTCTATATATTAAAAAGGCAAATTAATGGCTCCTGTTCCCTCATAATGCTTTTAAAGAAGGTGGACTTTATTTAACAACAAATGTGACTCAATAATCTCTATTATCGTTATTTCAATATGTTTCAACTCTTACAACTCAACTAAGCAGCAACAAAATGTACTATCTACATGCTGCTTCACTTACTGTAATAGCCAAAATAATGCAGACTGGTTATCTGGTTGTAATCTAGCATCTGGTCCAACCACAAACATGTGCAATCCTGGACATTACAGCTCCAGATTCAAATAAAACTTATCTATCACTGCTCTGCGCTAATTCCTCATTCTTTCTGAATGGAAATGTTGATTTTGTGCTATTCATCCATAGAGTTTCATGGAGTGATCAGCTATCTCTCTCATCTACAAAAAGGAAGGAAAAATTCAGCCCTCCTCTATTACAAAGCTTTCTGTGTTTTCTATAAATTCCATCTAGGCACTGAATTGGATTTGCTCTTAAATGAATGCATTTTTATCTATACCTGGCAGGAATCTAGAACTAAAATTACAAGATTTATTCCATTTTAATTCTATTATGAAGTATTTAATCACAAATACCCCCTCAAATGAAAAGATAATTTATCATTTTTCCCTGACTGAGCAACTCTCTTCAATTCAAATTCATGAATCTGTAATGCAGGGAGGAGACCGGATGATTAAGTGTCCGATTAGAGAAAACAGATTAACCTGGCAAACATAATAAATTTAGCCCATAAGCAGGATGGCTTTATAAAGGCTCACAATAACTCTCCTATATAAAAATCATGAACCACTTCCTCCAATGATGACTCAATTGAAATAGTTGAGGCACATAAAGCAAATGCATGTTTATAGCTTTCTCTCTGGGACGTTAAAAGGAGTAAGTGATTCAGTTCATAACTCTAAATACATACTAAATAGGGAACCTGTGAGAAAAATGGTAACGCATAAAAAAATGAATCCCAAATTCTCAAATGTTCTAGTTTCCACTTTGCTAATAATTACATCTGGACTCCAAATGCTTTTAGTTTCCGTCTGTAGACTTTATGTTTCCACAGGCACCAAAGCCAGACCTCAGGTTTCGGGTCATGTACCCACACACTTTGTCACAGATTCAATGATCCTTTTATAAAAACAGCTGCGTAGTTGTACAGTTCTGCCATTGTGACCGGCACATAAAATTAATAGCTGTTAGTTGAGATTCTATTTGCATCAGTGTAAAACTCTAGGCTATGACTGGTTTCTCACTTAGCTGGTTGGTATTCCTGTTCTCTCTGTCTCCCTGTCTCTGTCTCTGTCTCTCCATAGGGAGAGAGTTATCTCCCTGCCTGCTCTCTGTTCCTCTCTCCCTCCCTCCCTCTCTCCCTCTGCCTCTCCCCTACTCTGCCTCTCAGAAAAAGGATACTCTCCCCGCCCAGTTTTATTTTTAAACTCACATGGCTGTATTCTGGACACCTCCTGCTGGCCTACCTGGCCTGAAAGAGAGTCAGTTGAGCCCAAGTTTGTCACGTGCACCCAAGTCGTGCTGAATAAGGCACCTGTTCCACTGTTTGTCACTGGAGCTCCAGCAGGGCTTTCAGGGGCCGGGCAGGGCTGTAGGGAGGGGCATGGGCTTCCCGGGAGTCTTGTCTTTAGTGAGGGCCCCAGCCGTCCTGAGCCAGGTAACTTTCCCACGGTGGGAACGGAGGTCTAGGGCAGCGGGACCCTTTCTTTAACCCTTCCGTGTTTCCTCACTGTTGTGTGTGTGTGTGTGTGTGTGTGTGTGTAATGAAGTCTTTCTTGTTTATGTTTTTTAAGGTCACTCTGTCCCCTCACCCTTTGCCGAGGCAAAGACCGAGCTGTCTTTTGGGGGTGCAGTGACCAGGCTCTCTTCCTCCCTGAAGAAGGTTGTGTAGATCCAAATCGCAAACACGTATTCCCGATACATGTGCTCTAACTTTGCTCTTTCAACAACCACAGCGGCTAGCACAGCCTCTGGTGCCATAAAAGTCTGCCGCAAGCAAGTCCAAGGGGCCGGGCGGGACGTGGAGGTCTGGGATGGAGCGGGGCAGCGCTTGGATCTCCGGTGGGCTGCGGGGGCGAGGCAGCGCCGTGTCCCGCTGCTGGCGTGCGCGGGCGAGTGTGTCAGGGCGCGCGAACGAGGAAGGCCGGGGCAGGGCCGAGCCCGGCGTCCTTGCCCAGGCGGGGAGCAGCGGGGACCCGAGCACGCGCCTGGCACCCGCGACTGGCGCCAGGGCTGGCGTTGGCGCTGGAGGCCGCACCCAGGGGGGCGATCGCTGTGGCTTTGGGTTCTCCCGCTGCTGATGGAGGCATCCTGTGACCGCTAGCAGCAGGTGAGACCTGGGACCCTCTCAGCTGTCGTCAGATGAGGGAGGGCGCTCTGGGCCCAGAGGGGCGGACCTAGGAGTGCCGGGGCAACCACCTTTGAACCAATTGTGAAACAAGGAAAAAACTAAGCGGATTCTCTATATAGGAATCGGATGCAGTTCCACCTCCCCTTTTTTATAAATTGGAGTACAGAGTCCACAGGGAATGAGACTTGCTTCCGCAAGTCAAAAGCTCTGATGAGGCAGAGGGGCACTAGAAGCCCAGCCTGCTTCTCAAGGCTTTTTACACCTGCTGGCCCCTCTGAAGTGAACATGAAGAGTGATACGAATGATGAGTGTTGCTTTGGATATTGGAAATACTGTTGGTGACGCTACGTTGACGTTCAGCGCCATGGAAACGAGGCCTGTGTCGGAAAAACTCAGCCCTGTGTCTTCCCTGAGCTTGAGTTCCTCGTTTCTTCATTCATTAAACATTTGCTATGCAGTTATCTGTGCCAGGCGCTCTGCTAGAAACTGAAGGCCTAGAGATAAACAAGCACCAGCACCAGCCCTCCGTAGGGGGGCATAAAAGTCCCCAGGCAGCAGGCACCGAGCGGGTGTAGGGAGCTGGAGGGCCTCCGGAGAGCATGCGCTGTGGAAACTCAGCAGCCGTCGTCCTGGGTGACTGCTGTGAGACCTAGGCGAAGAATTGGGGAGTGCAGGGCCGGGGGAGGAGAGTACTCGGAACTGAACCAAGGGCCTTCACACTGTGCTACATCCTCTGCCTTTTTTTTTTTTTTAATCTTGAATTGCGGGATCCAGTTCTTACCTGGATCTTTGAGAGTGGACCATTTGTAGGTACTTGGAAGTGGGCATTTCAGGTAGAAATTTCATTGTTCACAAAAGCAAACAAATAAAAAACCAAAAGGCACAGCAGCAGCAGCAGCAGCAGCAGCAGCAGCAGCAGCAGCAACAACCTCCAGACAAGTGTGAATCACAAAGACTAGTTTGGTTTGCCTAGAATACAGGGAGGAATTGAGGCCAAGAATGTAGAAAGGGCAATGTGGGTAGTGTATTAGTCATCTTCCCGACACCCACAGTTTAAAGGAGGAAAAATGTATTTTGGCTTATGGTTTTAGAGACTTCAGTCCATGGTTTGATGGCTTCCAGGCAGAAACAGTATGATGGAGGACAGCCACTCAACCTGTGGTGACCAGGAAGCAGAGAAAAACGCAGGGATAAGAATCCTTCCAGTTCTTACTCCCAGTGACCAGCCTCTTTCCATCAGGCTCCACCTCCTGAGAGCACATTTGTCCATGAACTTCCTAGTGGAAAAATCCACGGATGAGTGTAGCACCACCCTGATAAAATCACTTTCAACAGCCCCACCTCTGAACATGTGAGACTTTGGGGAGATATTTAAATAAACCATAACAGGCTGTCAGTGGTGAGGCATCTTGGCAGATTCAAAACAGACCATGACAATGTTGTGGCTGAGAACAGTTAATGTGGCCCAGAATGGAACTTTGCCATGTACAATCAGAGTGTTGGACCAAGGCTCTTTACAGCCCGGAGAGTCTGAGGCTTAATCAGCCTTGAAGCACAGGTCTTCTTTGAAGCAGTATTGTGGATGTAAGAAACAGCTGGAATAGGAAAGGGTCCTATGGTATTCAGAGGCTGTTGGACAAGGAGTAGGCTGTGATTGCTTGTTTCAGTATTTTAGATATCCAGTAGTGATCTTAAGAGTACTTGGTAACGATGTGCTCCTAGATACTCCAAAACATGAGCAGCAGTTAATCAGCTTGTCCCTGTTTGTGCAGGGAGCATTTATTCCTTTTGATGTGTCCTTAGGGCCCAAGATGGAGCTATAAACAGAATAATCCGTTCTGGCTCTTGAAGTGAGAAATTTTTTGTACAAAGATTAAAGACTTACCTTTATACTGCTCCATTATAAATGATTCATATAATACTGTGCAAGTGAACTATAAAAATGAAGTATCTTTACCTTAAAGATGACACACAGAGATTGCATTGGAGGACTTTATTAATGTATCTTTAATTGGTTCTGTGTTATCTCTTACGTTAACCATCTGTGCCTCAATGAACTTGGTCCAGGTAAATCAACTTATTGAAGTAGACCTGTAACAACCATTCGCCTAAGGTCTCAGTCTGGGCACTGTATAGATGCTTCCAGCCCTACTTCAACACCCACTAGGCAGGAGAGAAGCAGGGGTCCTCCAGCAAGACTCCACTTCCCATTTACTCTCTGGTTCTGCATGCAAATATTTATATGAAATATGTATTTGTATGCTTTTGTACTTTCCCATTCTACTGGATAATTGAGAAGAGGGAAAAGATGAGATGTTTCATAGCAATTCTTTTGGTTGAGGCACCAAAAAAGGCACCAAGAAGGAGCATGAACTCTGGAGTAAGAAGTTGTACCTGAAATTGATCACCAGGCTTCCCACTGACTACTTAGATGTCTTTAGGTCTGGTATTTAACTCATCTGAGTCTGAAAAACAGCAGTCATAATAATCAGTTCACAATTGTTAACAAGAATCCTGCCTGGTATCCTCTTATAGGTACATCCCTCCCATCACTTCCTTATCTCCAGACAATTCCTCTTATTTTAACTTTCTGCAGAGGTTTATCCCACACACAGGGTCTCAGATTTTTTTTCAAGTTTTATAACTTTGTCATTTCAAGAATGTTACACAGCAGAATCACCAACCATTGCAACCTTTTGACTTTGTTTTTCTTCTACTCAGTATATTGCTCTTGAGATTCATTCAAGTTTTGCATTTATTAGTAGTTTGTTCCCATTTTATTCCTTAGTAGTAGTCAATGGTATGCCTTCAGCAGAGTTTTTATTAACAAGTAATAATCTTATTAATAGGGCTCAGTGTGATATTTCCAGACATGCATACAATTCACCTTGATCAAATCCAGCCACTAATTAATTATCCATCCTCCCAACCCTGCACATGTGCTTCTCAATCTCTAGCAATCACTAGCTCACTTTTATGTCTATTTTTAAAAATTTACACATAGGAGAGAAAACACATAATACACTGGACTTGTCTTTCTGTGTCTTGCTAATCTTATTTTTTTTTGCTATTAAGTTTTTATGTGTTCTGGATATCATTCTTTTGTCATATGTGGAAGGTGCGAATACTTTCTCACATTCTGTAGGTTGTCTCATCACTGTGTTGTTTCCTTTGCCAAAACTTTTGAATTTGATGCAATCCCCTTGGTCTATTTTTGCTTTTGTTTCCTGTGCTTTTCTTTCTTATGTATTAGATGTCCCATACAGAAAACCACTGCCTGGAGTAGGGAAATAGACCTCAACTTGAATTCTAAGCTTGTCACTGACCAGCTACATGACCTTAGGTCTGGCACTGAACTGATCTGAGTGTCTCAAGGTGTTTTTCCTATGCTTTATTATAGTAGACTCAAAATTTCAGGTCTTACATTTGTGTGTTTGATTTGCTTGGAGTTGACTTTTTATAGTGTGACAAGTCAGGGTCAAGTTTCAGTCATCTGCATGTGGATATCAAAGGATATACTTTGTTTTTCTGCTAAGGATTGCGTTGGTTATTCAGGGGTCCTTTGTGTTTCCATGTGGATTTTAGTATTGTTTTTTCTAATTCTGTAAAGAATGTTATTAATATCTTGATAGTGATTGTATTGTATCTGTAGGTCACTTCAGGTAGTCTGAACATTTTAATGTATCAATCCTTCCAGTCAGCTAATATGGGAAATCTTTGTTTTGCTTCTCATTCAATTTCTATCACTGTTTTATAATTTTTAGTGTACTGGTCTTTTACTCTCTTGGTAAAAATATCTATTATTTCTAGATATTTTGGGGCAATTGTGAATGGGATTGCTTTCTCACATGGTTTATTATTGGCATATAGAAAAGCTACTGACTTTTATATATTGATTTTGTATCCTGCTACTTCACTGAAGTTATTGTCAGTTCTAATATATTTTGGTGGGCTCTTGGTTTTTCTATATATATAAACATATTATCTACTAATGGATAATTTTATTTCCTCCCTTACTATTTGTATCATTTTTATTTCTTTCTGTTGCCTGATTGTTCTCTACTAGGACTACATTAAATGAAAGCAGTAAGAGTGGACATGTCTTGTTTTGTTCCTGATCTTAATAGGAATGCTTTCAACTTTTTCTCATTCAGTACCACACTAGCTATGGGTGTGTCATAAATAGCATTTATTAAACTGAGGTATGATTCTTCTATTCCTAATTTGTTCAGAGCTTTTATCATGAAGAGATGTTGAATTTGACTAAATGTTTCTCTCTATCTATTCAGATGAGCATATGATGATTACCCTCTACTTTGTCGATGTGATATATTACATTTATTGACTTGTGTATGCTGAACTGTCTTTGTATCCCTGACATGAAACCAGCATAAGCATGGTGAATGATCTTTTCAGTTGTCTGTTGAATTTCATTGGTTAGCATTTTGCTGATAAATTTTGTGTCTGTGTTCATCAAGGATATAGGTACACACTTTGTTCCTATTGTGGCCTTATCCGGTTTTGGTACCAGGTGATACTGCCATGATAAAATGAAGTTTGTAAAAGTTCCCCTCCTTTCAATTCTGCAGATTAGTTTGAGATAAATTGACATTCATTATTCTTCAAAAGTTTCGTGCTATTTGGCAATGAAGCCATCTGGTCTTGAGTTTTTCAATGACAAGAAATGTTTTCTTACTTACTGATCTAATCTCTACTTGTTATTGTTCTATTCAGGTTTTTTATATCTTCATGGTTCAATTTTGGCAGGTTGTATGTGTGCAGATATTTCTCCATTTTTCCTAAATTTTCTAATTTGCTAATATATAAGTATTCATAGTAATACTTAATGTTCCTTTACATATCTGTAATATTAGCTAGAATGCTTCCTTTTTCAACTTTAATTTTATTTACTTAGGTCTTTTTTCTTGGTTAGTTGAGCAAAAGGCCTATTGGTTTTATTATTTTTTTTAAGAATAGAA